TTTAACCCCCCCCCCCCCACCCACTTTTTTTTTTTTCCCAATTACCTCCCCCCCGAATTTCTTAATTTATTTTTCTTTAATACATACTGAATATCAGTCTGCATAGAGGTGGATACACCCACACCACACCCTTTCACATACACAACTTAATTTAATAATCCCTTTGTCTATTTTGTTCATGTCTGTTGTTTCATCTTCTCTGTCCTTTATCCTGTAAATGTGTTATTTCATGTTGCAATTAAAATAAAAAGTGAGGACCAGACGGTGTCCTCATTGAAGGTTTTTCTTCCCTAGACATATTCACTGTCTAAAAACTGCCCTGACTTTTCATTTTCCAAAAATGTCCTCATTATCGAGGCCTAAAACTCGAGTCCTCACCTTATAACACTTGCTTCCTTTTGCAAAAACATCCTCATTGTGAGTGTCTGAGGTTCAGAGATTCCGACTTTCATTTTATAAAAATGTTTTACAAACAGAATAACGCTTAATGCCATTGATTTGTTATACATGAGGAATTTGACTGGTACATCGGCTCTCAATGTACAAGGGGCAAGTAGACAGTAAACCAGCATAAGGCTGTGTAATATAACAAAATCAGCAGTATTAACAATCAACAAACAGCGCAAACAATGCAAAATAAGCAGTTTAAACAGGCATGAAAATGATGCAGACAAAGGAATGCTCATTGAAATGAGATAAATAGGAATAAAAATAGAGTACTTAAAACTAGAGACCTGTACAGATCTGTATAATCTATATGAGGTATGTCTGTGCAGATTCTCAGTCATCTAGGTCACAGTAAACTGAAAAAACGTAGAAAAAATCAACTGGACTAGGTTTCTATGTCGAAGACGTTTCACCTCTCATCCAAGAGGCTTCATCAGTTCTGACTGACTGGTGTTGAGCCAGAGATATTTATCCCCCTCGGTGGTGTTTCGGTCCTTTGAAGGCCAACAATGTCCCCTAATGACTGAGTCGTTATAGCTCAGTATCGGTGAGAGTCGATACCTGCCCCCGGCCCCTGGTCTGTAGGCCTGTCCATGGGTCAAAGTGATGGTATATACAGCTGGAATGACTGACAAGAATGTGATGGAAATGTCACGGAGCGTTCATGTTCTTAATGAATAGTTATTTGTTTTTCATCATTCTTTGGTACAAAGGTATTAAATTGCATCGTATGTGTCTGAAATTTAAGTTGGTGAACACTGCAAAAACTCTGATATGTCAGGTTGGAACAAACACACAGGACTTGTTAGCAGGATTTATTCACTGTGGGTTCGGCTCTGCACACCAGATTTGTTGGCTAGAAGAAAAATACCACTGGAGTTTAGGTGCTCTAAGTGAATGTGATGCTACGTATGGACAGGCCTCAGACAGCAGGGCGAATGTCACGCTGTGCATCACTGTATCTGCTGAGGCTGTGTGACTGCTGTTGGTAAACAGCGTGTGGCTCTCGTCTGTGGGACGAGCAGGAATCTCT